ACAGTCGATCTTGTTTGTAAACACTGACAAAAATCAACGAAAAGTCACCACAGCAGACAAGCCGGCTTTCCTGTTGGCCTTTCGCAGGCAGGTAAAAAGACAATTTACAACCCCAGGGCTTGGATGACAGCCGATGGCCTGAACACTCACCCCGCCACAATAAAAGCTAAATGGCTTGCTTTATCATTAAAAGAAAATGGCACCCAAATATGATTTCTTTCTCTCTTGGCCCTTGCAACTCTCAATTAAGCAAGCTACAGAAAAGGTGATCCAAAAATTATCACAACTCCAGGCCGGCGTCCAAGCGAGGCTGCCCAGCACATGCAGGCATTAACTCAATCAGAAAATATTTATCGGGGGCCTATTCGGTGTCAGACACTGCTGGGTGCTGGAAAACACGGAGGGAAAAGGTAAGACTTTATCCTTGCCGGATGCTATTGGGGAAGAGATTATACGTCAGTAAACAAAGCCCAGATGACTGCCGTGTGCCCTGGAAACAAAGGTGTGTCTATGTTAGCGAGGAATGGGGTTGGACAGGGAAGACGGCGCGGGGGAGAGTTCGTAGCAATTGGAGAGCCTGTTGGCTGATGTCGAAATCTGAAGGAAGAGAAGAAGGTATTTTCGGAGGCAGGGCAAGAGCAGAAGGAGCAGCAAGCTCCAAGACCCTGAGGTGGGGCCCGGAAAAGCCAAGGACAGCAGAGGGCAGTGAGGGCTGGGCGGAGGGGCTGGAAACGGCGGAGATGAGGCCCGGGCCTTGATGAAGGGTGTATTAGGAAGAGAGAGGTGTGATCTGTGGTTTTAAAAGCCAGTCACTTGAGATCTAGTGTGGAAAACGGACTGGAAGACCACCCAGCGTGGAAGCGAGAGGGCATGTTCGGAAGTTAGTCTGGGAAGGAGACAGCGGTGGCCAAGAACAGAGTGGGAGCTATGATCACGGGGAGAGGCGAACGCACTCCAATCTGCCCTGGACATCATTCAGAGGTCGGGACCCACTGACAGCCTGGACGTGGGGCCGGGGGCAGGGGGGGAAGGGAGAGAAGAATCCAGGATGACTCTTTTTTAAAAAAAATTTTATTTTATTGATTTTTTACAGAGAGGAAGGGAGAGAGATAGAGAGTTAGAAACATCGATGAGAGAGAAACATCGATCAGCTGCCTCCTGCACGCCCCCACATGCCCTTGACCGGAATCGAACCTGGGACCCTTCAGTCCGCAGGCGGACGCTCTAGCCACTGAGCCAAACCGGTTTCGGCTCCAGGATGACTCTTAGCAAGTGAATGGATGGGGAAGATGGAGGAAGGAGAGAACGGAGAGGAATCAAGACCTTCAAGCATGGTCCAGAGTAGAAGCCCACAGGACACATGGACTATTAGCGTGTAGTTGACAGTTGCAGCCATGGCGGGGGCAGAGGACATGACCTAAGAAGAGAGTGCTGACAGTAGAAAGGGACCAGGACCAGCAACACCACCATTCAGAGGTCAGGCAGGGGAACAAGCAGCAGGGAGCCCAGAAGGAATCATCAGGAAGGATCCACCCACGAACAGGAGAGTGGTGGCAAGAAGCTGGGAGGGGAGTTGCTTCGAGGAGGAGGGGGTGGCCATTGTGAGGAACGTGGCTGGGAGGTAGAGTAAGACAAGGACAGAGCCTGGCCACCTGCAGGCCATCAGTGACTCTGAGAGGTGGGAGCCTGAGCCAGGCTATAGATTGTGAGGGGTGAGCAAACAGTGGGTGAAGAGAACGAATGGAGACAGTGGGTTTGGACATGTCTTTTATTTTTTTAAATATTTTTTTAAATTGATTTCAGAGAGGAAGGGTGAGGGAGAGAGAGACAGAAACGTCAATGATGAGAGAGAATCATTGCTCGGCTGCCTCCTGCACGCCCCACACTGGGGAATGAGCCCAAAACCTAGGCAGGTGCCCCGACCAGGAGGTCGAACCGTGACTTCCTGGTTCGTAGGTCGATGCTCAACCGCTGAGCCACGCCGGCTGGGCGGGACATATCTTTTGAGATGTTTTCAGGTGAGAGGGATCAAGGAAGTGGAACAGAAGCAGGAGAAAGACGTTAATAAGAGCAGCTAAAGCTGTGCCACCCCTTATGGCAGCCACTGGCCACCTGTGGTTGTTTAAATGTAAATTAAAATTAAAAATTCAGGTCCTCGGCCACTCCAGCCACATTCCCAGCGCCCAATAGCCACGTGTGGCTGGTGGCAGCCATAGGGGGCTCTGCAGACATAGGGCGTTTCCCATCAGCACAGGAAGTCCTACTGGACAGCACTGAATTGAAGCACGTTGTATACCGATGGGAAGGAGCCTGGAGAGAGGGAGGTGGAAGATGGAGAAATGTTTTCCTGAGGAGGTGAGAGGGGAGGGGATGGCCAGTCCCCCGGGGAGGGGCGGGGTTCTGGTAGGCAGGACCAGAGGAGGGACTGGCCATCCCTTTGGCAGAGCAGGTGAGAAGGAAAAGGCAGGGCAGCTATACTGGAGGCTGCAGGCGTGGTGGGGAGGTGAGGCTGTCCTTGGTCGTGGCTCCTCTTTTGTCACTGAGAAAGGAGGCTACATGCGTGTGTGTGTGTGTGTGTGTGTGTGTGTAGGAGAGGGGGGTCTGGGGAGGGAAGAAGGTACGAAAAAGCTGCCCTGGGGCGTGAGGACACGGACTTACTGGGGAAACCACACACACTGGGAAACATTTCACAGAAGGGAAGCAGGACACAGGGACACTGAATGAGGAAAAGCGTCTTAGGCGGGGAGAGGTGAACTCAGATTTTTTTTTCTCTTAGATCCTGGTTGTGTTGACAAGCACAGCCACAACGAGGCTGCAGGACCACAGCGAAGTTTCCCGCTGGCTGCCCTTTCCCGGTTCTCCCTCCTCCGTCCCACTCCAGTCTCAGGGAGAATGGCAGGGGTTCTATTTTCAGTTAAAATGGTTCCCTCCACCCGCCTCTGTCTAAACTGCTTATCCAGGCCTCGCTCCATCTCAGCTTACAGCCCTGGCTGGCTTGTGCATTCCCATAAATTATAGAAGTGGACGTATTAAAAATGGCAGAATTAGGCAGGAGTTCCAAACAGCCCTCACCTATAAGCAGTGAGGAACAGACATTCATGGATGACAGTAACACCACACGAAAGACATATCCCACGTTTCAACAAAATCCCCAAGCTACTCCTCCCTGTCTCTCCACGACAAAAAAAAAAAATTATTCTCTAACATTTTCTTTATGAGTAAACGTTTTCATTTCCACAGAACTATTTGATCTCAACCAGTCGGAGTTTCAATATTTGTTTTTGAGCACGCAAGTGTGCTGGGTCGGTTCTGGATTGGCTGAGGGGGGTGGGGGAGGGACAGGGAGTTAAAATTACCAGATCCCTTTATCTCCCATCTTGAGATCTACATTTGCCAACTCCTTCCCATGCTTTTTTTTTTTTAAAGTATGAAATCTGAGAGCTGCAAAGGTTCCCACTGCTCAAAGAACAGCCCTGTCACAGTCTATCGGGGGGTCACTGCTTCCCAGCCAGGGGGCCCCTGGTTAAAGCTCCCCGTTTCCGTACGGGTGAAACCCCTCGAGTCTGCACCAGTGTCTGAGGCACATCTCCTGGCCCCTCTCTGTTCCCCTGTCCTGCTCATGTTGGTCCGGAGCCCCCATACTTCCCTTCCTCAGTATTCCTCTTGGCCTGCCTCTGGTTCCTTCAAGCATGGTGCAGACCCCGCAGATAGCGTTCGCCAGGTATAAGGACTCCAGAAACTTTTCTGGAGCCAGGCACATAACACCACTGACCCACGGGAGCTGGGTCCAGCCCCCAGGACAATCTTTTTTTTTTTTTCTTTAACATATATTATTGATTTTCTGCACAGAGGAAGGAAGAGGGATAGTTAGAAACATCGATGAGAGAGAAACATTGATCAGCTGCCTCCTTCACACCCCCCACTGGGGATGTGCCCGCAACCAAGGTACATGCCCCTGACCGGAATCGAACCTGGAACCTTTCAGTCCGCAGGCTGACGCTCCATCCACTGAGCCAAACCGGGGGGCCCCCAGGACAATCTTGCCCCTTTCCCCTCCTCGCCCATCCCATACAGGAAAGCAAGCTCTCTAGAGTCTAGAGAGCTAGACCCACAGAGCACAAGTCTTTGGGTCATGATAAGGCCGCTAAGCGCAGCAGCAAGGGACAGATTAAGGAACTCTGATTCACTTGCACCCCCGCCCCACCCCCCGCCGCTCCCCCTCCCCCGCCTCCATGGTCAGACTGTGGCTTCCCTCTGCCCACACACAGTGTCCCTCTACTAATATCAGCTGACCAACCTGGGGGAAGGTACCAAACCACTTCAGGCCTCAGTTTCCTCACCTGTGAAATGGGCGTAACAGCCGTTCCCTGAATACGGAGGTCCCATCCTCCAAGTGCACTCACAACGGGTGAGCAAATGTAAGGAGTTTAACTGCTAGCAGCACAGTGGCTGGCTCCCTGACTCACGGCGCCTACTACTCTGAGCGGCGCCTGGAGAGATCAATCCTGCTTTTTAAATTACTTTATAGACTCAGAAGCATTAGTCACTTCGACAGAGTATGTCAACTTCTCTCCTGAGCATCTCAGCGGCTTCCAAGACTGAAGCCTCGCCGAGCTCCTCACCGACTGCCATCACCCGCAGCCATCGCCAACAGACTCCAAGTCCACCCTCCCTGTGCCCGGGGGTTATTATTATTTCCTTTCCAGGAAAATTTAGATTTCCATTTTGTTTGTAAGAAACCCGATCGTGGAGAAGGAGGAACTGCACCCACACTCGCAGGCACAGGCCCTGGAGTGGACCGCGCCCGGGAGCGAGGGGATCGCCGCATGGCCGAGGCAGCAGAGCCGGCCGGGCGCCGATCCGTGCGCGGTGCCCCGGCGGCTTGGGGAGATGGGCCCCGGGCCCGGGGCGGAGGGCGCGGGGTCGGTGGCGCGCTCGCTCCAGGCTCCGAGCGGACGCGGCGGAGGCCCGCAGCCCCCCAGCGCGGCGGGCGCACTCACCCCATCTCCGGCGCTCTCCCTCGCCCGCGGCGGCTCCGACGGGGCCTCTGGCGCTCGCTGTCCGCCCGCCTGGCAGCTGCTCCCCGCGCAGCACATGCGGTCGCCCGTGCGCGCCCGGCTCAGCCCCGGCGCTGCTCCATTCCGCGGGCTGCGCTGCTACTGCCGCCACCGCCAGGCGGGCAGGCGGGGGCTGAGCCGCCAGGGGCAGGGCAGCCGCGTTCGGGCGGTGCCCGCCCCGCCCCGCCCCTCTCCTTACGTAACCTCGTGGCCCCCAGGCCCTGCGCCCAGCCCAGGGGCGGGGGGTGCCAGCGCACCGTAGCAACCGGCCTCCCTGGCAGACCCCTCCCCTTTGCGATTTTGCATCCGTGCGCCCCAGCTGTTCGCCCCCCAGGAGCTCCGCCGCGCAGTGCTGTCAGGGGGCATCCTGCCTGCGTCCCCCAAGTGGAGGGGGCCCTGTCGCTCCCCTTAGTTTGCAGGTGAGGGCACGGAGGTCCCAGGAAGGGGAGCGATTGGCTCAAGGTCACACATTCAGGTCAGAGCTGGGGTCTTCAGAATCTGAGATGGGCATGGGCATGGCCATGCCCCTCAAAGCCCATCTCATCTTGCTGGGTGCCTCAGGGGCCGGCGGAAGCCAGCTTGGCAGGAAGGACCCTATCCTGCAGCAGGTGTTCTGGGCTCTTCCCCGAGAAACGATGGGAGGTGGGCTCCTAACGAGAGGGTAATTAATCGCTTTTAAAAGAGGCTTGATCAGGCTTGTCCTTATTCTCAGAGCAAGGAAAACTGAGATGACAAAAGTGGAACCTGAATCAGGGCAGCACTGGGACTACCCCAACCCCAGTCCACCCTCTGGGCCTTCCACAGGGGCACCTGCTGAGAGCGCACCGCCTGCCCACCAGCCTGGCATCTCAGGGCAGTAAGACAAGGAACAAGCACACCGAGCAGGGCCACCCTGACCCACTATGACCTCTCCTGGGACCACAACTTTACCTGCTAACCCCCGAAGTTTTTTTTTGGGGGGGGGGGCACTGACAATTGATCAGTAATTTTCACAATGACAAATCTCATCAGGTCACACTTAAAACCCTCAGTGGCTTCTTTCCCACTGTTCTTGGGATGCAGACCAGGATACTCAAATGCATACAAGGCCCTACCCCATCGCATCTTCAGTGCCCTCCCCAGCCTTTTTGCCTCTCAATTTCCCCCTTGCTTTCCGCACGCCAGCCAACTGGCCAGCCTCCTTTCAGCCCCAGGACCTTTGCACATGCTATTCTAGAAGTCCAGGAAGATTTTCTCCAATCCCTTTGCCTAATCAATTCCTACTCATTCTTTAGATCTGTTAAATTGCCACTTCCCTGTGAAACCCCAGACAAGACTGCAAACTCCTGTATTTTTTTCTTTATTGCATTTACTGTTATATTTATACAATCATTAGTTTAATATGTCTCCCAGGCAAACTCTATGAAGCCACATCTTTTTGCTCATATTGTATCTCCAGTGCCTAGAACTGTGCCTGAAAATCTTCCAAAAGTATTTGTTGAATGAATGGATAGCGAATAGGCCAGGCCACAGACATACGCAATTGGGCTAGTGTCTGTAAGCTCACGTTTAGAGCCAGGGAGGGATAAACCCTTGGTCCTGGAGGAAACGTATCGATCACAAGCTGAATCCCAAAGACCAAGGCGGGGGAAGTTCCTGGCAGTGACAAAGGAGAATAAATGGCAGGAGCCAGCTCTGCTGGTGTGGGGGTCCCGGAAGACTGATTCGGGGTATAGTGGGGCCAAGAAGTGTCCAAATTCTGAACAGGAGTTTCCTTTTCTCGACTGATGGGAAGGGCACACCCACACTACCTTGGGAGGATGCGGTGATGCGAGCGGGTGGGGCTGCTGCACACCTCCAGCGGAAAGCAGGGCAACGCTGCAGGTGGGAGCCCACAGGAGGTGAAATACTCCGTGGTTAAGTGGCTGTCACTCTGGGTAAAGGCTCTCACAACAGAATGAGGAGAGGAAAGGGTTCATCAGACAGAGTTTGGAAATGGCTGCCCCTCCTGTCCCTGTGGGGAGCAGCCTCCGGGCCCAGGGGCATTCCCAGACACCAGAGCCTCGTCTCAGCTTTGGGGTTAGTATTGCATCATCCTGAAATCTTTCTTAGAGAGAGGCCACTTCATTTCCCTATCAGCGCCTCCCCCTCCATTGAAGCCAACACAGTCAGCCTTTTCCTGTGGAAAATCTCCCATCAGCATGGTCGCCATGGCCCCAGTTGTCAAGGGAGATGATGGTGCAGTGACTTCTTTCAAGAGGCCTGATTTAAAGGGAGAGGGAAGTAAACGTGTTCGCTGGAGGTTGCGGCGAGGCCAAGGAGAGTCTTTTTAGGCCAACACTTGAGTCTCCCTTTAGGCTGAGCAAGAGGACCCAGCGAGGGGGCCAGAATGAAAATGTGGGAAAGGGGCAGTCCCGGGGGGAAGGGAGGAGTGAGCCTCAGAGCCGGGAGGCAGCCTGAGGGACGTGCCTGCTGGGCTACTTTTCCTAAAGGGGCCAAGGACTCCTACTGACCATGCGTGAGAGGAGGCGGGGGAAAGCTAAATCTGAAACAGCAGCCTTGGGAAAATGAACACTGTTGTTGGGATACATAGATCCAGAGCTGGGGATGAGAAGAGCAGAGATGCTCCCAAAGGTCTGGGCGGCCAGGCCTTGACCAGCACCAGCTCAGGCACCAGGGATCCCTGCTGCTCTGTGTGGGCCGCGGAAGCTTCCAGAATCCACCCGCCAGGCACTGCCCATTGGTCTGGAGCACATTCTGCACTCGAACTGGGCGGGTCACATAACCATGGTGGCTCACCGGGGCGCTCTATACGCCTGAGAAATGAAGGAAATGGGGCAGCTCTATGGTGCCCTTGCTCGGTGCTGCCAATTAATCCTCGCAAATACCCCAGTCAGAAAAGCACTGTGCACCCTCTGTGCCCACGAGGGTAACTTCCATGTCTCTGCTTCTAGTCTCTCCAAAGCTTGCTCCTAGAAATAGCTGACTTCTGTCTGGGGCAGGGAAAATACAAGAGAGCCTAGAGCATCTTGTAATGCCAGAAAGTAAGGCAGTGCTCAAAAAAAAAACAAAAACAAAAACAAAAAACAAACAGCCCTAGCTGGTTTGGCTCAGTGGATAGAGCGTCAGCCTGTAGACCAAAGGGTCCAGGTTCGATTCTGGTCAAGGGCATGTACTATGGTTGCAGGCTCCTCCCCAGCCTGGGCCCTGGTTGGGGCACATGCAGGAGGCAACCAATCGATGTGTTTCTCTTACATCGATGTATCTCTCTCTTTCCCTCTCTCTAAAAATCAACAGTAAAATATCCTCAGGTGAGGATTAACCAAAACACACACACACACACACACACACACACACACACACACACACACGAGGATAAGGGCATGTCAAAGGGATACAGGAGGCAATTGAAAGAGCTCTCAATGGCCAAAGCTGGAACATGTGAGCAACACCATAAATAACTGTAAGCATGATAATGCAAAATATAAATGTACATAAGTCCATACTGATATAAATTACTAAACAACTGGAGACAAATCTTCCCTAGAGAATAATTCCAAATAATATGTGTAGATTCTCCTGCCTCGGGTGGAATGTAAGACCCCCACACCCCTATCCCCTTGAGAGTAGGCTGATCTTAGTGTCTTAGTGATTTGCTTCTAAAGAACAGTGTGTGGGACAAGAGACATAACTTTACAGTGAAGAAAGCCGGCAGACCGCCCCCCCCCCCCCCTTGACCCAGTGATCGAGGTCAGCATCACCAGGGCTAAACGATGCTGATATCACACTCCTTCCGATAGGATGTGATGGGATGTGTACCTCATCTGCGTGATATTTCCCCCTAAACCCACAACCCCAGTCTAATCAAGAGAAACACACCAGACAAGTCCACCCTGAGGAGCATTCGACAAAACACCTGACCCGTCCTCCACCAACTGTCAAGGTCATGAAAAACAAGGGAAGACTAGGAAACTGTCACAGGCCAGAGGAGAGTAAGGAAATGTGATGATGAAATACGCATTGGAGCCCTGGCTGGTTTGGCTCAGCGGATAGAGCGTTGGCCTGAGGACTGAAGGGTTCCAGGTTCAATTCCAGTCAAGGGCACATGCCCGGGCTGTGGGCTTGATCCCCAGTAAGGGGCATGTAGGAGGCAGCCGGTCAATGATTCTCTCTCATCATAGATGTTTCTCTTTCTCCCTCTCCCTTCTTCTCTGAAATCAATAAAAATATATTTTAAAAATAATAAAATGTAAAAAAAAAAATACACATTAGATCACAGATTAGATCCTGGGAGAGAAGAGGAAACTGGTAAACTCCCACTGACGTCTGGAGTGTAGTGCCCGGTGATGTGCCAGTGTTGTGCCTTCCATGGGCAGCATGGCTGTGGAAGATGTTAACAAGAGGGGGAACCGCGTGAGGGGTCTATGAGAACTCTTTACTGTCTTATAACTTTTCTGAAAATTGAGAATTGCACCAAAATAAAAAGTTTATTAGAAAAGAAAGTAGCCCTTGGAGTCTCCTGTCTACCAAATCCTCCAAGCAACCGAGTCATTGGTAAGCACGCGAAACCCTGAACAAGTAACTCCTCAGGTGACACCTGGGACCTGAAAGTGTTCCTCACTCAAAGCAAGCCACTGAAATCGTGCTTCCCCATACATTTTTTTAAAGCCTCACCCGGGGACATGCTTACTGATTTTAGAGAGAAGGGAAAGGGATGAGAGAGAGAGAGATAAAGAGTGAGAGAGAGCCCTAGCTGGTTTGGCTCAGTGGATAGGACTGTGGACTGAGGGGTCCCGGGTTCGATTCTGGTCAAGGGCACATGCCCGGGTTGCAGGCTCAATCCCCAGTAGGGGGTGTGCAGGAGGCAGCCAATCAATGATTCTCTCTCACCATTGATGTTTTTATTTTTCTCCCTCTCCCTTCCTCTCTGAAATCAATAAAAATATACATTTAAAAAAAAAGAGTGAGAGAGGAGAAGATAGAGAGAATAACACTGATCGGTTGTCTCCCATACACACCCCGACCAGGGATAGAATCCTCAACCTAGGCATGTGCCCCGACTGGGAATTGAACCCGCAACCTTTTGGTATATGGGATGATGCTCCAACCAACTGAGCCACACCGACCAGGGCTGTGCTTCTCCATTTTATAACTGCAACCCACATTAAGAAGTATATTTTGGGAGAAAACCAAGATGGCGGCATAGGTAAACACCGGAGTTTTGCTGCCTCGAACAACCACTTCAAAAATACAACTAAAAGACGGAACGGACATCATCCAGAACCACAGGAAGGCTGGCTGAGTGGAAATTCTACAACTAGAAGGAAAGAGAAAAGCATACCGAGACTCAGAGGAGGCGCAGTGCAGAAGTAAAATACTGAGGTGCGGAGGTGCATGTGGAGTGGGCTGGCAGCTGAGGGGGCGGTTGTCATTTTCAATCGGGAGGGAGTCTCAGGCTCTGAGCTCCAGTTCCAGGCGAGTCTCTAGGGACCCAGACTCATATGGGAGAAGCAGGACTGTCTGGCATAGGTCGGAACCCGAAGGCAGCTTTCTCTCCGAGGGGCTTGCAGTGATTACCCGGACACTGAGAAGCAGAGCCTCTGAGGGCAAGTCTGAGAGCAGCCATAACTGCTAGCCCCACCCTGTTGATCCCGTGGGACCTGCCCCACCCAAGTCCTGCAGGGAGGCTTTTGCTGAATAGCCGCAGGCAAAGGCTAGATTAGCACCTCCCTAGAGATCCAGGAGCCAGGAAGCCCAGAGGTCAGAGTGGGACCATCCAGTTTGCAGCTCCCTGGAAACATAAAGGACACACTCAGGGGGCAGACTCAGTGAGCACCAAAGCCCCACTGAAGCAAGTCTTGCCCCAGAGGAGTGTCTCCAGCACAGAAGTTCTCCCACTGCAGACACAGCTGATCCTCACAGCCAATTGGCCTGGAGGTCAATTCCTCCCAGTGATAACTACAACAATTAAGGCTTAACTACAACAAGACTGTGCACAAAGACCACAAGGGGGTGCACCAAGAGTGTCCTCCTCAAGTAATTGGGGAGGCTGAACCACTGGGCCCTAGAGGACACTCAGCACAGAAAACCACTTTTTCAACACAGGAAAGCATAAAAAATGCCGAGACAAAGAAACAGGACACAAATGAAAGAAATGGAGGAAAGCAAACTGCTGGATATAGAATTCAAAACCACACTTTTAAGGTCTTTAAAGAACTGTGTAGAAGCCGCCAATAAATATAGTGAGATCCTCAAGAAATCTAGTGAGACCCTCGATGTTATGATAAAGAACCAACTGGAAAGTAAGCATACACTGACTGAAATAAAGAATATTATACAGACTCCCAACAGCAGACCAGAGGAGCATATGAATCAAGTCAAAGATTTGAAATACGAAGAAGCAAAAAACACCCAACTGGAAAAGCAAAATGAAAAAAGAATCCAAAAATACGAAGATAGTGTAAGGAGCCTGTGGGACAGCTTCAAGCGTACCAACATCCAAATTATACGGGTGCCAGAAGAAGAGAGAGAGCAAGATATTGAAAACCTATTTGAAGAAATAATGACACAAAACTTCCCCTACCTGGTGAAAGAAATAGACTTACAAGTCCAGGAAGCACAGAGAACCCCAAACAAAAGGAATCCAAAGAGGACCACACCAAGACACATCATCATTAAAATGCCAAGAGCAAAAGACAAAGAGAGTATCCAAAAAACAGCAAGAGAAAGAAAGTCAGTTACCTACAAGGGAATACCCATAGGACTGTCAGCTGATTTCTCAACAGAAACTTTGCAGGCCAGAAGGGAGTGGCAAGAAATATTCAAAGTGATGAACAGCAAGAACCTACAACCAAGATTACTTTATCCAGCAAAGCTATCATTCAGAATTGAAGGTCAGACAAAGAGCTTCACAGATAAGAAAAAGCTAAAGGAGTTCATTACCACCAAACCAGTATTATATGAAATGCTGAAAGGTATCCTTTAAGAAGAGGAAGAAGAAAAAGGTAAAGATACAAATTATGAACAGCAAATACGCATCTATCAACAAGTGAATCTAAAAATCAAGTGAATAAATAATCTGATGAACAGTATGAACTGGTGATTATAATGGAATCAGGGGCATAGAAAGGGAATGGACTGACTATTCTTGGGGGGGAAAGGGGTGTGGGGGATGCGGGAAGAGATTGGACAATAATCGTGCACCTATGGATGAGGACAGTGGGTGGGGAGTGAGGGTGGAGGGGAGTTATGGTGGGAAAAAAGAGGAACCAATGTAATAATCTGAACAATAAAGATTTAATTTAAAAAAACAAACACGCATGAATCTGATATACCAATATTTTTAATTAATTTTAAAAATATACAATTACCCAGACTTAAATGAAATCCAAGCACAATATATACTTTATCTACTAATGTAAAGAATATACCTTTACATTTCCATTTTTAAATAAAGAACAAATATGAAAAAAAGTATATTTTACACTGCAAACCAATACATACTTCCACTTTATCTATAGTTATATTACATAAAACGGAAACAAGTTATATATATAAGTGAAAGTTTTACAAAACAGTTCTTATCTTCTCGCCTGCAAAGCATTCTGACATTTTTCATTCTGTTCTATTTTTAAAAGCTGTGCTGCTCACAACCCACTAAATTGATTTCAAAACCTATAATCTGTATTTTTTTTCTTTCAACAGCAAAATGAGGCTCACCATGTACACATATAATGTTATTATTAGTGTGTTCAGATTTCTGATACTGCTGGCTGGTCCAGAGACTTTGAACATTTTTCTCTCTTGACCATTAGACTTCAATTCTTTCAGCTGCATATGAAACAAATGTCTTATGAAAGCCATTAAAGGGATAACTATCCGGTATTATGCAGCTCTTAGATTATAGTTTTGAAGACCATATAGCAACAGAAAAAAATATTATTTCAAACAAATATTGATCACCTACTACGCATCGGGTACTGTGCTGGGCACTAGGGATAAAGTGCTCAGCAAAATAAACACCGTTTTTTGGGGGTAAAATATATTAGTCAAATAATCACACAAATGTAGAAAGTATGATCTGTGTGAATAAAGGAGTCCTAATGTTGGCTGAGAGGGCTGGTGAGTAACGGCTTCTTTGAACAGGCATCTAAGAAGAGGCCTGAAGAACAAACAAGCATTAGCCGGGCACAGAGTGGAGGGAAAAGGTCCCAGGCAGAGGAAACTGCCCACAGGCCTGAGGTGGCACAGAACTGGGCAGTTTTGTACACGGCCATACCACCCTGAACGCGCCCGATCTCGTCTGATCTCGGAAGCTAAGCAGGGTCGGGCCTGGTTAGTACTTGGATGGGAGAACTGGGCAGTTTTGAGGAACCGGAAGGAGGCTCCTGGGGTTAGAAAGCTGTGAGCCTAGCAAGGCATGGGATGGGTTGGGAGGCGTACACAGGACCCTGCGGCCAGGTTAAGGATTTGTGATGTATCCAAATGCTCCGGCAGGCTGGGGGATACCATGATCTGGCTTCTGTTGTTTTAAAGATCACCGTGGCTCCTAGAAGAAGACATAAGTAAAATTATGCAGAGTTAAGAGGCTCTAGGTGGAGCCCAGACCAAAGATAAGGGTAGGGATGGAGGGAAGTGGATTACAGATTAGAGATATATACTGAAGTCTGACTCAGCAGGTCTTGGTGATAGATTGGACGTGGATTATGATAGAAAGCTATATTATGATATAAAGAAAAAGTATTAGGTATGATGTATGTGATATAAAGGAAATAATTCTATGTGATAGCTGTGCTGTGAGTATAATTATGTAAAAACTACTAGCATGTATGGACAAGGCCTGGAAGTACAGGAAATGAAAACTTTGATTTGTTGGAACAAGCAGAAGGAATATAGGATAGAAAACACAATATAGGACAAAAGCACAAACACTGAAGTCAGAACGGGGCTACCTCCCAGCTATGCCACTATCTCTGTGACACCGGGCAAGCTCTTTTAACCTCGGTAAGCCTCCTTTCTCTAATCTGTAAAATGGGGATCCCGCGTTGGACTGTTAGAAATATTACATGAGATAATACATGTAAAGTGCTTAGCTCTGTGCCTGATACGGTACATTCCCTAAACTGTAAGTATTATTACAATTACTGGCTATAATGGTGGAACTGGGGGGAAACTCTTTATGGTGACTGAATTAAGACTGGTATAATGGTATTTATATAGTCAACATTTTATTTTATTTTATTTTTTTAAATATATATATTTTATTGATTTTTTTACAGAGGGGAAGGTAGAGGGACAGAGAGTCAGAAACATCGGAGAGAAACATCGATCAGCTGCCTCCCGCACACCTCCTACTGGGGATGTGCCCGCAACCCAGGTACATGCCCTTGACCGGAATCGAACCTGGGACCTTTCAGTCCGCAGGCCAACGCTCTATCCACTGAGCCAAACCAGTTAGGGCTATAGTCAACATTTTAAAATGTAGAAGTGTTGGTTTGAATATTCTGAAACTGTATGGAACCAGCACACATGCTTTCTGCCAGGTAACACTTTGCTCACCTGTGTCCAAAGCTCTCCACAACTTCAGGGCACCTGAGGGTCAAAGAAACAATGGGTGGTCCCTTTAAGATGACACCAGGTCAATAAGGGATCAGCAGCCCCTTCTGTTTCCAATCCAGCCAAGGCCCTGCTCTTAGAGCAGCGGTTCTCAACCTGTGGGTCGCGACCCCTGAAAATACATCCTGCATATCAGATATTTACATGACGATTCATAACAGTAGCAAAATTACAGTTATGAAGTAGCAATGAAAATGATTTTATGGTTGGGGATCACCACAACATGAGGAACTGTATTAAAGGGTCGCGGCATTAGGAAGGTTGAGAACCACTGTTAGAGAGACAACTATAAAGAGTCTCCTCCGGTCCCTACCATCAAGGGCTTCCCTAAGCCTATCTGTCCCAGATGCCCCGGGGATTCTGAGCCTTCAGCCTTCCATTCAGCCGGAACTGAGCACCTATTCTGAGCCAGTCTGCCACCTCAAACAACCGAATAATCAAAATGTAACGTAACCAGTGCATGAGATAATGACTCTGCCTGGGGAAGGCTTCAAAAAGGGCGATCTCAGCAGGACCATGAGGGACAAAAGGGAATTTCAATTCTGGCAAATAGACCAGGACTCGCTAAGGCATTAAAGGGCTTGACTCACATGGGGATGACAGGGCACGTCCGGGGGTGGCTCTGCAGGGTGTGGTGGGCAGTGGCCAGGCATGAACCACACGGTGAATGACCCTGAGGGCCTGATTCTCTGGGGGCCACAGGGAGCGCGTGAGAGCTCCCAAGCAGAGGGACCCTGCCTGACGACACCTCCACTGGGAGAGCTGCAGAGCCGGCCCAGCTCCGAGAACCCAGGGCGGGGAGAGTGAAAATACACGCTCTCACTCCGTCACCTCCCCCTGGAGATTACAATCACCCCGAGTCTTGACAAAATGACAGTGGCAGGGCCCCACCTCCAGAGAGAATGATTCCACGGGACGGGTGGTGCCCAGGCCTCGGTAACCCTCTGAACTCCCCAGGCGGTTCCAATGTGCCGCTGAGGGTGAGAAGCCCTGCTCGGAGCCCACAGGCCTAGGCACAAGCAGATGGGCGCCCGGAGCGCGGAGCCCGAGTGTGGGAACAGCAGGAACAAAAGGCACACACTCTAGCTCGCTGGCTGGGCATTCTTGAGACTTTGGGCTCCAGAGGAGAACTAAGAAACCCCAGGACTTTGTGGGGCCACGGAGGAGCATTCTAAGGCCTGCAGCCCCTCAGAGAGGAATTAGTTTTACATGGATCCGCGCCCCCGACTGGCAGCCGCAGCAGAACCCACCTGCGCCTGTTTGTATGTCTGGAGTCGCTGGGCTGGGGCAGATCGGTCACGTGAGGAGAGACCCCGGAGCCATGTCTGGGGCAGACTCATCAAGACTGAGGATGGGGCGCCCCAGGTGCTGCGCCCAGACGCCGGGCTGGAGGCTGCCGCTCGGCGCGGGGCGTGGCGCCGCCTCCAAACCCGCGGAGCCCGAGCCGGAGCCCGCAGCTCCCGGGCCGCGCCGTGCCTGCGGTTCTCGACGGCGCGGGCCGGGCCGCCTGGATCCGCGCTCCCTGCCTCTCAGCGGGCGGCCGCCCGACGGGCTCCCCTCAGCCCCGGGCCTCAGGGCGGGCGCGGCGAGGCCGCCGGGGCGCTTCTTTCGGGGTCGGAGCCGCGAGGCGCCGGGCGGGCCGTTTGCTGACCGTTTGCTGACCGGAGAGCGGCCGCCGCCAGCATGGGCTGCGCCCCGAGCACCCGCAGTACCGAGACCCAGACCGTGTGCCCGGGCGCCCGCCCGGGAGGCCTCTGAGGCAAAGGACCCCGCGGCGCTTGGGCGGGCCGGGCGCCCTGCTCCGTCCGGAGCCCGAAGCCTTGGCCACCACCAGCGGCGCCCTCCCCGCGGACCGCCCCCCCCCCCCCCAGCATCGCGACTGGAAGGTGGAGGTGATTTTCCCCACCCCTCCCCGTACATCACGTGAGAACTCACCTTGTTCTCATTATCAGTGGAGTCCAACATCTCACGTGCAGTTTGGCCCCATGAGGTTTCTGCACCCATGCAGATCAACAGGTACTGTTGGCGTTTGTCAGAGAAGATAGCCAGTGTGAAGGACTCCGTAAGGCGTGTGAAAAAGCAGGGTTTAAGTACACGGTGGCCCTGGAGGTCCAGGCTGTCCTGACCTGTTTCCTGGCTGCAAATCAGGACATCATCATCATCGACCACAGAAGCCCCCAGCAGCTGGACGCCCTGACGCTGTGCAGGTCTATTGGAGCAACAAAAGTTTCAGAAAACACAGTTATTGCTGGTGTAGTACGCAGGCGGGATGGAGAAGAGTCTGTGATGTCCCTCATTCGTGCCGGCTTTAGGAGGAGGTTCGTGGAGAACCCCAGCCTCCGGGCCTGTTGTGCAGAGCTGCTGCAGCTGGAGTTTGGAGAGGGGCGGTCACAGCTGGAACTCAGGGCTTGTAATTCAGTACTCACTGCACTGGAGAACAGCCAAGACGCCATTAAAATCACGAGTGAGGACAACTACATACAGGAGTGGCAAGGCGTTTACCACGCCAAAAACGGAGATAATGTACCACAAAATGTGAAGTAATACCTGTCATTGGACAGGGAGGAAAAATTGGACACTATGTGTCCATCATCCGAGTGAACAACGGCAACAGTAAGGCTGAGAAGATCACGGAATCTGTTCATTCTGACCCGCCCACAGTGGCCAGCCAGAGGCGACGCTCCTCCATGGCCCGGATCCACTCCATGACCACCGAGGCGCCCATCACCAAGGTGATCAATATCATCAGTGCTGCCCAGGAGAACAGCTCCATGCCTGTGACGGAAGCCTTAGACCGCGTCCTGGAAATTCTGAGAACCTCGGAGCTGTATTCACCACAGTTCGGGGTGAGGGAAGAGGATCCTCACACCAAGGACCTCACTGGGGGCCTGATGTCTGACGGTTTTCGAAGACTGTCTGGGAATGAGTATACTCTCTCCACAAAAAACCTGCATCAAATTTCGGGCAGCTGACTCACCTCCAAGTCCCTTCACGACATCCCACCGCGCATAGCTGAGGCCATGGAAAACGATGACAACTGGGACTTTAATGTCTTTGAACTGGAGACTGCCACTCAGAAAAGGCCTTTGACTTTTCTTGGTCTCAAAATCTTCGCTGGCCTTGGGGTCTGTGACTTCTTGAAGTGCTCGGAGACGACGCTGCGGCTGTGGCTGCAGACTATGGAAGCCAACTACCACTCCTCCAACCCCTACCCACAGCTCCACCCCCGCTGCCGACGTGCTGCACGCCACTGCCTACTTCCTCTGCCAGGAGAGGATCAAGCAAGCGTTAGGCTCAGTGGACAAGGCCGCCGCCCTCATCACAGCCGCCATCCACGACCTGGACCCCCCGGGGAGGACCAACCTCTTCCCGTGCAACGCGGGCAGCCCGCTGGCGGTGCTGTGTGACTGTGCCGTGTCGGAGAGCCACCACGCGGCCCTGGCCTTCCAGCTGGCCGCCAGGGAGGACAAGAGCAACATCTTCAAGAATGTGGAGGAATGACTACCGGACGCTGCGCCAGGCCATCATCGACATGGTCTTGGCCACAGAGATGACCAGGCACTTCGAGCACATCCATAAGTTTGTCAACAGCGTCGTCAAGGCCTTGGCAGAGCTGGAGGAAAGCGAGGGGAGTGAGCCAAACCCTCCTGACGTAGACACGATGCTCCGGTCTCCAGAGAACCGGACTCTGATCAAGCGGCTGATGATCAAGTGCGCGGACGTGTCCAACCCCTGCCGGCCCCTGGAGCAGTGCATCGAGTGGGCTGCACGCATCTCGGAGGAGTATTTTTCTCAGACCGAAGAAGAAAAGAAGCTGGACTTACCTGTGGCGATGCCAGCTTTTGACCGAAACACCTGCAGCTTCCCCAAGTCCCAGATCTCCATCGACTCCTTCGTCACAGACATGTACCATGCTTGGGACGACTTTGTTGACCTACAGGAGTCACTGCAGCACCTGGACAACAATTTTAAATACTGGAAAGGACTCGATGAAATGAAGCTGCGGGGCGTCCGACCACCTCCTGAACCAAAATAGAGAAGGCTCCTGTCTGAAACTGGACCTCTGAAACTGCTCTACTCCCCTGATGTACTTTGCCAGTGATTCTACAAATTAAAAGAAATTAGGACTGAACACTTTTTCCAAATATTGTCACAGAAACATAGCAAACAGAATATTTACTAAATTGACTTTTAAAAACCAATCTGTTTTTATCTTCACACTTTCAATAAATGTAGTACCAAAAAAAAAAAAGACTGAGGATGGGCCCTGGCCGGTGTGCTCAATGGGTAGCGTGCCAGTCTGTGGACTGAAGGGTCTCAGGTTCAATTCCCAGTCAGGGCACATGCCCAGGTGGCAGGCTGGATCCCCAGTGTGGGGCATGCAGGAGGCAGCCGATCAATAAGTCTCTATCATCATTGATGTTTCTATTTCTCTCTTTCCCTTCCTCTCTGAAGTCAATAAAAATATATATTTTTTTAAAAAGCTGAGGTTGAGTTAGAAAGTGGTGAAGTCCCGTGTGGCACTGAGGCTTCCAACTGGAGACGCCTACCAGATGATGGCACTTCTTAAGGATATATGGAACCCCAAGGGAGAGGAACAGCAGCAAATCAGAGGAGAGTGAGGAGTGTGAGTGTTGGACACGTTGAGATGCAGGAGTCTGAGGAACAAACGAGAGGAGCTGTCCAGTAGGCAGTTGCATGTGGCAGGTAGAGAGCTTAGAAGGGGGACTTGGGAGCCATCAGCCAGACAGTCTCTGAGCCCAGGATGCGCATGTGGAAGGAGCAGAGGTGGGGCTGAGGAGGGCACAGAGGGACTCATGGGGAGCAGAGGAAGCCTGTGAGGATGAAAGAGTGGTCTTAGCCCCCGGGGCCATCCGGCTCTAGATGTGAATCAACCCCCTTTTGGCTTATTTAGCCGAGTCATGCATCTTCTTCATCTTTTTTGTTGTTGTTGTTAATCCTCATCCGAGGATATTTTTCCATTGATCTTTTATAGAGAATGGAAGAGAGAGGGAAAGAGAGAGAAACATCGATGTGAGAGAAACACATCGATAGGCTGCCTCTTGCACACACCCCAACCAGGGCCCAGGCCAGGGAGGAACCTGCAACTGAGGTACGTGCCCTTGATCAGAATCGAACCCGGACCCTTTGGTCTGCAGGCTGACGCTCTATCCCAGTGGTTCTCAACCTTCTGGCCCTTAAATACGTTCCTCATGTTGTGACCCAACCATAAAATTATTTTCGTTGCTACTTTATAACTGTCATGTTGCTACTGTTATGAATCGTCATGTAAGTATCTGATATGCAGGATGGTCTTAGGCGACCCCTGTGAAAGGGTCATTCGACCGCCAAAGGGGTCTCGACCCACAGGTTGAGAACCGCTGCTCTATCCACTGAGCCAAACCAGCTAGGGCCATACATCTTGTTAAAAAGAAGAAATAACTCTTCACCAGAAAATTAAGAGCAAAACAAAAACAAACAAAAAGCAAATCACACAAAAGAGAAACAAGTGGGTTTTCAATTCATTTCATTGTGGCAAATATTTACTGAACGCCTACTACGTGCCAGCCCAGCCCCAGATGGCTCGGCTGGCATGGTTAGCTCATCAGACACACAGCCCCACTCCTACTCTCTTCCCCAGCCCCATCTGGGAGGCCACAGTGGCTCTGGTTCCCAGCATCTTTGCCTCCAATAAAGCTCAGCTCATACACCAGTTGTTCTGAGTGAAGTCCCCCTTGCAAAGCTGGGGTCCTCCTGGCAGGTAACACCTTCTCTGAAAGCCACCTGTCTCACATCAGCTGCCCAGCGGGTTTGGGGCTGCCTGTTGCTCAAAGCCCTTGCCTATGCTGCTCTAAGACCCGCCTCCGGGTCCCTCTCAACTCCTGCTGAGACAGAGCAGAGATGCAGGACCCGGCAGCTGGCCACCTTTCCTGGCCATTTCTAACCATCTCCAACAGCTCGCTCCTCGGGGGCCTCCAGGACTTGCCTTCTGTAACTTCAGAGTTACAATACCGGAAAATCACTTTGAATCAAGACAATATTTCTCTACTCACTCAAAGCAAGAGGCCTTACCCACCCAGGGGGATTTCCCCTGTCACCAGTTTCTTTGCGATCCCTCATCTGCATTCCCCCAGCAAATACTTGCTACCCAGTGGTAGTGTGAGGCCTGCCTCTTTAGAAGACTCTTTCCCTTAGAAAATTTGCTTTCTATTGCACATGACCTATTGTTCTCTTCACAGGCGCCATCTCTTTCATTTGCATAACTTTCCAAACTACCAATTTTTTTTTTTAATCCTCACCCGAGATATTTTTCCATTAATTTTTTAGAGTGGAAGAAAGAGGGAAAGACAGAGAGAAATACCAATGTGAGAGAAGCAAATCGTTTGGTTGTCTCCTGCACACCCCCCCGACCCAGGGCCAGGGCTGGGGAGGAGCCTGCAACAGAGGTACGTGCCCTTGACCGCAATCAAACCCGGGACCCTTCGGTCCAAAGGCCGATGCTCTATCCACTGAGCCAAACCAGCCAGAGCCAACCTACCAATTTTTTATCTCTAGCACAAAAGCTGTGCAGGTATTTGGCTTTACTCAAGTATCCATGTGCTTCTTAAAATGTGCTGGTTTGTCACTTTGTAAATGTCTTCCTCAGTTGGTTTTTGGGTGTACTGTCTCCTGAACAAGCTGTTTTTTCCCTATTTGTGGAAACCTATACATAACACAAAATTTACCATTTTTACGTGTGCAGCTCAGTGGAATGAAGTACGTTCACACTGTTGTACAACCACCACCATCATCCATCTCCAGAACTTCCTTGTTATCTGAAATGTGAACAAGTTATTCAATGCCCCGGAAGTAGGGACATGTTCAGTTTACTTTTCATTCCTTATTCTGCACATAAACACCCTTGACCATTAGAGCAGGGGTTTAACATAAAAGACACCAACCAACAGCCCATCAAACTGCCTCTTCTAAAATTACTTCTAGCCCTAACTGGTTTGGCTCAGTGGATACAGCATTGGCCCTCGGACTGAAGAGTCCTGGGCTCAATTCCAGTCAAGGGAACATACCTGGGTTGTAGGCTCGATCGCCGGCCCTGGTTGGGGCGCATGCGGGAGGCAACCAATTGATGTGTCTGTCTCACATCAATGTTTCTCTTGCTCTGTCTCTCCTCCTCCTTTCCACTCTCTCTTAATTTTCGGGTGAGGATTAACAAAAAAATAAATGAATAAAATTACTTCTAGCTGGGGCCCAACATCTGGCTATGACCTGGCCTTGGCTAGAGGGGCTAGGAGTCCAGAGCCCTGAAGAAGATGAGGACGGAAGAAACCAAGATGGCAGCATAGGTAAACACCAGAAATTGCTGCCTCCAACAACAACTTCAAAAATACAACGAAAAGACAAAACAGACATCATCCAGAACTACAGGAAGGCTGGCTGAGTGGAAATTCTACAACTAGAAGGAAAGAGAAAAGCACACTGAGACCCAGAGGAGCTGCGGAAGTAAAGTGCAGAGGTACAGAGGCTCGAGTGCGCGTGTGTGTGGAAAGGGGCTGGCACCTGAGGACACGGCTGTCTTTCTGAATCAGGAGGGAGTCACAAGATCCTGACTGCTCTGAACTCCAGTTCCAGGAAGTCTCTGGGGACCCAGGACTCATATGGGGAGAAACTGGACTGTCTGGCAGCAGGCGGAACTCGAGGGCAGCTTTCCCTCAGAGGTGCTTGCAGCGATTATCGGGACACTGAGATGCGGGGCCCCTTAGGGAAGGGCTGAGGATCCGCCATAGCTGCTTGCTCCACCCTGTTGATTCCCTGAGACCCCGCCCCACCCAGGCTGGGCAGAGGCTTTTGCATATGAATGCCCTGGCCCTTTGCAATCTGAAAATTACCTAACAAATTGCAGCTGGGCCAGACAGACCCAGAACTTTCAAGAGAAGGGCCAAGGCCCCACAGCAGCTTGCATTGCTTCACAGCTGGGCCTCATCTGGGCACCTCTAAACCCCAAACAAGTAAGGGGAATCTGCAGATCTCTTCGTAGCTCCTGCTGGGTAGCCTCACGAAGAGGCTAAATTAGCACCTCCTTATATCCAAGAGCCAGTGTACCCAGTGGTCAGAGTGGGACCATCCAGATTACAACTCCTCAGATCCATAAGGGACACACTCAGGGGGCAGACTCAGTGAGCACCAAAGCCCCACTGAAACAAGTCTTGCCCCAGAAGGGTGTCTTCAGCACAGAAGTTCTCCCACTGTAGACACAGCTGATCCTCACAGCCAATTGGTCTGGAGGTCAATTCCTCCCAGTGATAACTACAACAATCAAGGCTTAACTACAACAAGACTACAACAAGACTGTGCACAAAGCCCACAAAGGGGTGCACCAAGAGTGTCCACCTCAGGTAATTGGGGAGGCTGAGCCACTGGGCCCTATAGGACACCTAGCACACAAAACCACTCTACCAACACAGGGAAGCATAAAAAATGCGGAGACAAAGAAACAGGTCACCAATGACAGAAATGGAGGAAAGCAAACGACTGGATATAGAGTTCAAAACCACAGTTACAAGGTTTTTCAAGAATTTTCTGGAAACCGCCAATAAATTTAGTGAGACCCTGGAGGATATGAAAAAAGGCCAACTAGAAATTAAGCATACACTGACTGAAATAAAGAATAATATACAGAGATCCAACAGCAGACAAGAGGATCCCAAGAATCAAGTCAAAGATTTGAAATACGAAGAAGCAAAAAATACTCAACCGGAAAAGCAAAAAGAAAAAAGCATCCAAAAATATGAAGATAGTGTAAGGAGCCTCTGGGACAACTTCAAGTGTACCAATATCAGTATTATAGGGTGCCAGAAGAAGAGAGATATTGAAAACCTATTTGAAGAAATAATCACAGAAAATTTCCCCTACCTGGTGAAAGAAATAGACTTACAAGTCCAGGAAGCACAGAGAACCCCAAACAAAAGGAATCCAAAGAGGACCACACCAAGACACATCATAATTAAAATGCCAAGAGCAAAAGACA